TGTGTTGGCAATTTTCTGTTGTGGTTATTCTTTTAGTTTGTTGTAACTAAAACATCCTAAAAAGAGAGAGGAAGGATATCTTGGATTTCCTTTCAGGCTTTTCTACTGTGCACCCACATTCTTGGAGTTTCAGTTCTGGCCAGGCATCTTTGCCTGAAGAGAAACAAAGTTGCTTAGTTTGCACAGTATTTATTAATGAATAAGCGAGCCCATTCTTTGGCCTGGTCGTCTATGCTTTTCATCTGGGTAAATTAATTTAGGAACCCCAAACTGAATTTCCTGTGTATTCTTTTATTGAAGAAACAGTAATCCTAGTGTTTTTAGATATGGTCCAGGCAGCCATGACTTCCCCAAACAAGAAGGGTAAGGTAACGTTTCCGTTTTCACCCAAGTCACCAAGTGTACAAGTACACTTATTTACTCATATATTTGGCAGGCCTTTGTGGAACACCTGCTGTGTGACCAAGAATGCAAATAGGATAATGATGAAGATGTTGGTGGTACCGATCACAGTGACAATGTGAATAGATATATTTCCTCCCTTATAAAAGCTGGAGGGTATTTTTCTAGTATATGAATATTTACTTTTAATTTATCAATTTCAGGCTGGACATGGTGGCTCACACCTATAATCCTAGCATACTTTAGGAGGCTAAGGTGGGAGGATTGCTGGAGGCCAGGAGTTCCAGACCAGCCCAAGCAACAGTGAGACCTTGTCTCTACAAAAAAAAAAAAAAAAATTAGTCCAGCATGGTGGTGGTGGCACATGCCTATATAGTCCCAGCTACTTGGGAGAGTTAGGCAGAAAGAGCACTTGAGGCCAGGAGTTTGCGGTGAGCTATGATGATGCCACTGCACTCCAGCCTGGGTGACAGAGAGACCCTGTCTTAAAAAAAAAGTCAGTTTCACTATTCATTCACATTTAGGGGTTTCATAATGTTTATTTATTGCTCTCGTGATTTACATGTATCAACTGATTTCATCCTCACAATAACCCTGAGAGATGGGCAATGTTGTTAATGCTCCTGTTAGAACGATGAGAAAAAGAAGGCACAGAGCGTCTAAGTAGCTTTCTCCTAAGTGCTGGTCAGTAGTAAGTGTGGGATCCCATCCTAGGCAGCCTGGCTCCAAAGACCACATGCTCAAGAACTCTGCTCTCTCCACCTGTCCAGAAGTAGTTACTGTCCTAAGGAGCTCACAGGCTAAAAGCTTAACGTGCAAATAAATGAATTATAGTACAAGGTAATAAGAAACGAAAGAGGAGCCCTTAAAGAAAGTACAGCATAGCTCAGAGGAGACGGGCTCACTTCTGTGAGGCTGGAAGAAGTCTGCCAGAACTTCTTACTCTGAAGGATTCATAGACTTAGTGTAGATGCCCAAGAAGAGCATTTGCACACACACAGATGCTGGTGGGCGATACGACCGTGTGGGCTCAGGTGTGGCAGGGATTCCAGTGGAAGGGCTGTTCCCTGAGTGAGTCCATTTGGGTGAGAAGTTCAGGTGCTGGCATTTCTGAGTCTCTTGACCTTTGGCAAATCACTTAACTCTCTTGATGTGGTTCTCACTTAACAACCTCACACGCTGTCTCAGTCTCAAAGGGAATAATTAATGCAGAAGTTCCTTGTAAAAAGCAAAGTGCTAGGCCACCGGTGAAGGGCTGCTACCTCTGCTTGGAAAGGACACATGAGGCCCAGCCTGTACCTCGGGGATGGGGAATATGAATCACAACTCTCTTACCTTTCTCCAGTGATTGCCTAATAAAACTGGACTTAATCTTTCAGTTCTAGTGCTGAGCTCCTTAGGAAGAGTGTTGAGTAAGTACTACGTTTCACCACAAATTTTGAGCTGCGTGGTGTTGACCGACAGGCAGGAGGCCGGCCCCAGGGCTGAGGGTGCTCGCTGCTCCACTTGCTGTGACCTCCTTCTCTTCCTCCCAATAAGGATGGAATCTGTCTCTGTACACTGATTAGAGCTCATCCACTATTAACCCAGACACCCACATGGTCCAAATCACAGGAACAACCAGGCTGAGTACCTATGACTGGAAGCAGGGACCTTCCCAAAAATAGTTCCCAGAAACTGGGGAGAGTAAGCTAAGCTGAGAGTTTAACCTCAGAGGATTTGGCAGAGTAGCCTCCTTGTTAAGAGGTTTTAATCCATGATTCAATCTGTAAGCACAGGAACTCTCCTTTCTTAGACCTGACAAGATTTCCCACCAATAATGACTGGAGGAAAACTCAATATTTTTTTAAAATGGAACGTCCAATGTCCTGATGATAGAGATTAAAAATTGAAATGGTTATGCAGATTTCTCTAGGTCTCAAGTCCCTCCGATTTCTCAAACTCTCTTTCAAGCTACATTCCATTCAGATCATGGAGAGCTTACATTTAGGGGGCCCATCTGTACTCTGCTGAACCTAGTAGCTGAGCTGGCCAGAGGACCCCCTCCTTGGATGACAGATGCTCCTTCTGAGGAAAGCCTCCTCCCATCCAGCTTGGGTGATTCTTGGGAATAACCATCAGCTCCCATGTCCCCCCTGGTTTTCTCCTTTGGAGCCCATCACTTGGTGAAGTCACAGTGAACAAACCACCAGGCCTCAAGGGTTAGAGTTCAATGTGTCCCTGTGCTTGTTGGAGAGATTTCACTCTGGGTCTGCTGGGAAGATGTGACCATGACATGCACCGAGAAGGAGATACAATGACACATCTTTAGATAGAGATGCCAAGTCAACCAATGTCATGTCTGGACAGTGACTCCTCAGCTCAGCAGGCCACTGCCTCCCTGGCCCTCCCCACATAGCCACTCTACATATATCTAGGCCTAGAGGTGCTCATCTCTGCTTTTTTTTCAGAAGTTTCTGGTCAAAGAATCGCCCCAGCAGCTCACTTTTTTCTGTCCTGCTCTGGCTACCATTAGGCTGCCATGGGCGTACAGGATTCATTTCCAGAAACTCTCATCGTGATGCCGAGTTTGGAAGACCTACCTTTAACTCAGTATATCCTAGATTGCACCCCATGAAAGCATCAGCCTTGCAGCATCCCAGACCTTGAGGTTCTGTGCTCCATTTGCTTTCTATCAATTTATGCTTAATTAATCTCACAGCTGCAGTAAGTTACCCATTTACAATTTCTGTATCTTTGTTTAGATTCTTCTATTTTGTTGTTCTAAATTGTGTGGTTTGAAATTGGCTTTATTCACTTGGAATGAGTCTTTCATTTTATGGAAATAAGTGAGTCAAGCCCGCAATTACTTGCATCCGTCTTAGCTGAAGTCAGAGTT